TGGGTGGGCAGGCCGGCCGTCTCCTTCGCTGCAGGAGCGCCCGTGGGTGGGCAGGCCGGCCGTCTCCTTCGCTGCAGGAGCGCCCGTGGGTGGGCAGGCCGGCCGTCTCCTTCGCTGCAGGAGCGCCCGTGGGTGGGCAGGCCGGCCGTCTCCTTCGCTGCAGGAGCGCCCGTGGGTGGGCAGGCCGGCCGTCTCCTTAGCTGCAGGAGCGCCCGTGGGTGGGCAGGCCGGCCGTCTCCTTTGCTGCAGGAGCGCCCGTGGGTGGGCAGGCCGGCCGTCTCCTTTGCTGCAGGAGCGCCCGTGGGTGGGCAGGCCGGCCGTCTCCTTTGCTGCAGGAGCGCCCGTGGGTGGGCAGGCCGGCCGTCTCCTTTGCTGCAGGAGCACCCGTGGGTGGGCAGGCCGGCCGTCTCCTTAGCTGCAGGAGCGCCCGTGGGTGGGCAGGCCGGCCGTGGGGCTGTGCTGCTGTTTATGCAGAGGTGCCCTGGACGGGACCGCAGCTCCTTCCTCGGCCTGACAGATGGCCCCGGGCAATCCCCTGCAGCATTCTGAGCTCTTTCCAGGAGTATAAAATGGGATTAATATGACTCTCACAGGGGTCTCGTCAGGACTAAATGAAGTGACACAGGTCACCTCATTCCCCCAACTCGGAGGGGCATGTCACTCACTGCAGTGCACTCGTCTATGCCTTCTCCCTGAACGGTGCCTCCTCGTGGTCCTCCTGGCTTCTCTCCCAGCCTGCGTCCAGCCCACCAGTGCCCGCTCCACCTCCTACCTGACAGGTCAGACTCACGGCTGCACCTTTGCCCCCTCATACTCTGTTTCTAACACAGCGGCTGGTATGACCCTTTAAAACCCGTCAGGTCTCACCACCCTCTGCCAAAACCCTCTAACACCTCACCTGAGCACAAGCCATGTGCCCGTGGCATCTTCCAAGGGCCCCGTGACAGAGCAGGCTTTATCCTCAGCCGGCTTTGCCTCGCAGGCTCCCAGGGCTTGCTCCTCCAGACTGGGGCCCTTGCTGCTCCCTGATATGCAGGGAACAAGGCCTTCCCAAGGACACTCCTCCCCTGGAGGGCTGCAGGGCTCACGCCCTTCTCCTCCGAGGTTCCCTTATCAGAGACACTGTCCCCAAATACGTGAAACAGCACTCTGGCTCCCCTCTAATCTTACTGTTTCACTTTTTTTCACAGAACTTCCTGACATGTCACCATCCACCACGTCACAAAGCTGTGTGTTTACCACAAGCTGCCTCTCTCCCTAGAATCTGTGCACTGCTGTATCTGAGGTGCCCAAAACAGCCCGACAAACAAAAGGTTCTTGAGAAATATTTATCAGGCCGGCGCTGCGGCTCACTTGGCTAACCCTCTGCCTGCGGCGCCAGCACTGCAGGTTCTAGTCCCGGTTAGGGCACTGGTTCTGTCCCGGTTGCCCCTCTTCGAGTCCAGCTTTCTGCTGTGGCCCAGGAAGGCAGTGGAGGATGGCCCAAGTGCTTGGGCCCTGCACCTGCATGGGAGACCAGGAGGAAGCACCTGGCTCCTGGCTTCAGATCGGCGCAGCACGCCGGCCATAGCGGCCATTTAGGGGGTGAACCAATGGAAGGAAGACCTTTCTCTCTGTCTCTCACTGTCTAACTCTGTCAAAAAAAAAAAAGAAAAAGAAAAAGAAAAAAATATTTTCGAGGGGCCAGCACCATGGCACCGTAGGTTAATCCTCCGCCTGCAGCGCCAGCATCCCATAAGGGCACAAGTTCTAGTCCCGGCTGCTCCTCTTCCAATCCAGCTCTCTGCTATGGCCTGGGAAGGCAGTAGAGGATGGCCCAAGTCCTTGGGCCCCTGTACCCTCAGGGGAGACCGGGAAGAAGCACCTGACTCCTGGCTTTGGATTGGCAGAGCTCCAGCTGTTGTGGCCATTTGGGGAGTGAACCAGTGGATGGAAGCCCTTTCTCTCTGTCTCTCTCTCTCACTGTCTGTAACTCTACCTCTCAAATAAATAAATAAAATCTTTTAAAAAATATTTATCAAATGAATACATAAAGCATGTAGCACAATGTTAAGCTCATGGGAATGCAGGAACTCAACATTAACTATTTCCAAATAAGAACACCCCTGTTCCAGAAAATCTACCATGAGACTCACAAAACTTGAGCACTCTCTACCCATGCTTGGATCAAAGAAGTAGAATCAATTCACCGACATTCTGATCCCACTGTCAGCTTTAAATGGGTAATGTAAGTTTTACTGTAAACCGGGAAAAGCACTGTGGCATAGCAGTTGAGCTGTCGCTTGCCCACGTCTCATATTGGAGTACCTGGTTCAAGTCCTAGCTACTCTGCATCTTTTTAAAGATTTATTTATTTGAAAGAGTGAGAGAAAGGGCGAGATCTTTCTGTCTAGCTGGTTCACTCTCCAAATGGCCACAACAACAAGGACTGGACAATGCTGAAACCAGGAACCTGGTCTCTCACATTCTCTGCATTAGCAGGAAGCTGGATCAGAAGTGGAGAAGCTGGGACTGTGACCGGTACTCCAACAAGGGATGCCAGCATTACAAAAGGTGGCTTAACCCTCTGAGCCCCATGCTGACCCATACTCTGTGCTTCAGATCCAGCTTCCTGCTAATGCACATGGGAGGTAGATGATGGCCCAAGCACTGGGTTCCTGCCACCCACTGGGAGCCCTGCGTGGGGTTCCCGGCTTCGGGCTTTGGATTGGCCTAACCCCAGCTGTTGTGGGCATTTGGGGATTGACCCAGGGGATGAAAGATCTCTTTCCTGTCTCTCCCTCTACCTTTCAACGTCAAGACCCAAAGCTCCTGAAGTTCTCCAAAGTTATCTTTCAGGTTTTCAATCACATTCTAGGGAGAGATGGGGTCACCAGACACCCTGGGCAGCTCAGATCTTACTGTAAGAGCGAGGCCTGGGTCGGAGAGTGCCCAGGGGCCACCCTCGCTTCATTTTAATACTAAGATCTCTGCCCTGAGCTATGCTGGCGCACGTTTCTGAACTGCACCTGTGTGGAAATGAACCCACTCTTACCAGCAGCGAGAACTTCTCCTCTTACACATTCATGTCCCCTAAAACAAAAGACACCCGTTCCCCCTGCTCAGGAAATGACTCCCCACGGTCTCTATTTGCTGCAGATACATTTTTGTGTGTGTGTGACAACTCCTTCTGGTCCATTTCTCAGAATGTGCCAGGAAGTAGAGCCACAATTTTGGGTGGGTAATGGTGAAATCTGAAACAAATCAGAATTTGAGCTGTCAATTTAAAAAGTGCTAAGGAGCAGTCTTCAGGACAAAGCCAAGCTCTCTACCTGCCTGCCTTCAGAAGGCACAGACACTGAGAGGCCCTCCACAACCTCTCAACAGGAGCAAAGAGTCAGAGCTTGCTGGAGACAGAAGAGAACTTGGTAGGAACAAAGGGCCCTGCTAAGACAAAACCAGCCCAACAGGCCGGCCCACTCTCTGCTCATCAACCAGAGCTTCTTCACCCGTCTCCCCAGCTCCATGCCCACAACCTCCCGCACCAAGCCATGGGATGTATTCAGGTAAATTCACGCAAGAACAAAAAATCCCACACACGCAAAACATCAAACATATTAGAGGCTTCCACTTCCTCACTCTAGAATCGGGACTTAATAGGAAAACTCATTCAGGAGATACTTTCCCCACACCTAAGGGAGAACAAAAAAATCCTTGAAAGCTCCATAAGCCAACTCAATGCCAGAGACTGTGGGCGGGAGAGGCAGCTGGTGGAGGTCCTCAGTGCAGTCTCCTTGGAGAGGGAGGCTGAGAAGAGAGGTCTGAAGATCAGAGCACTCCACTCCCAGCCCCCCCCCCCCCCGGGCAAAGCACTGTATACCCACTTCACACCCACCCTGCCACACAGGAACCACTCCCAGGCAAGCAAACTGCGCGTCAGGAAGGTACCCAGGGTCACAAAACTGGAAGTGAGAGGCTGAGTTCAAAAATCAAACCCAGCAGCATATGCTATCGCCACTCAGTTCACAACAGCTAAGCTACAGAACCAACCTAGGTGTCCACCAGCTGATGGAAAAAGAATGAATCCTGACATCCGCAGCAAAACAGATGCAACTGGAGATCATTACGCTACGTGAGACAGGCCAGACCCACCCTGAAAAACATCACATTTTCTCTTATCTGCGGTAGCAAATATATGTAGGTTTAATGATGTGTTTTATATATATATATATACACATATTTTTAAGATTTATTTATTTATTTGAAAGTCAGAGTTTCACAGAGAGGAGAGGCAGAGAGAGAGAGAGAAAAAGGGAGAGAGGTTTTCCATCCAATGGTTCACTCCCCAATTAGCCGCAACAGCCGGAGCTGCGCCGATCCGAAGCCAGGAGCCAGGAGCTTCTTCTAGGTCTCCCATGTGGGTGCAGGGGCCCAAGGACTTGGGCCATCCTCTACTGCCTTCCTAGGCCATAGCAGAGAGCTGAACTGGAAGAGGAGCAGCCGGGTCTCGAACCAGCACCCATATGGGATCATATGGGATGCCAGCACTTCAGACCAGGGCATTAACCCGCAGCGCCACAGCACCAGCCTGCCTGCCTCTCTCTCTCTCTCTCTCTATATATATATATATATATAAGTGATGTATTTTTATTTTAAAATTTGGGGGCCAGCATTGTGGTGTAGCAGGTAAAAGTCTCCACCTGTGACTATGGGCACTGGTCTGCGTCCTGACAGCTCCACTTTCTCCAGCTCTCTGCTAATGGCCTAGGAAAAGCTGTGGAAGATCGCCCAAGGGTTTGGGACCCTGCCACCCATGTGGGAGACCGGGAAGAACTTCCTGGCTTCAGCCCGGCCCAGCCTTGGCTGTTGCAGCCTTCTGGTCAGTGACTCAGTGGCTGGAAGATCTCTAATTCTGTTCAAATAAATAAATACACCGCATATCAGTGAAACAGACATCTTTTCACGTGCGTTGCTTATAGCTCTTGTCTATATTCCTGCTGAACTATGGTCTTTATTTTTTTTCCAGTATTTAACACTGCACCAATTTTGCATGTCATTCTTGCCCAGGGGCCATGCTAATCTCTGAACCGTTTCAATTTTAGTGTATGTCTGTGGAAGCGAGCACGGTTCCTTTACTTTATACTTACTTAGCTCTTTACTTGGGGGAGCATTAAACCTTTGACTATAATGTAGGTTAAAAACATATTTTCTCGGGCTGTGCTGTGGGATACAGGGTAAAGTGGCCGCCTGCAGGGCTGGCATCTCATGTGGGCATCGGTTGGAATCCTGGCTGCTCCATTTCTGATCCAGCTCTCTGCTCTAGCCTGGAAAAGCAGTAGAAGGTGGGCAAGGTCCTTGGGCCCCTGCACCCGCGTGGGAGAGCTGAAGAGGCTCCTGGCTCCGGATCGGGGCAGCTTCAGCTGTTGTGGACATTTGGAAAGTGAACCAGTGGATGGACGGCCTCTCTCTCTCTCTCTCTCTCTATATATATATCCTCTCTCTCTCTCTCTCTCTCTATATATATATAAAACTGCCTTTCAAACAAATAAAAAAATCTTTTAAAAATATACTTTTTCGCAAAAATTAGAAAAAAAGGGAGAGAGGGAGGTGTCATTACATTGCTAGGACTGTTATCTGGGAACTACACTGAATCTGTTGTGTTAACAGAACTGTTCAGAACTGTGCTGTAGACTGTGGGTCGTGCATTTGCTATGACCCCTAAGAAAATCTAATGTATTAATATTAAGAAATGAAACGCGAGTCTGCAGGCTGACCACACAGCTGTCGAGCGCGGCGGCTTGTGGAGCTGGGTTTAAACCGATGCCCACGGCCGTCCAGGTCTAAGCGTGTCCGCACGCCTCGCACGGCGGCACCAAGGCCGACCTAGGCACGCTGCTGCAAACGCCGCCCTCCGGCTTCCACGCGGGCCCTCCACGCCGCGGGCCACCACGCCGCGCGCCCAGGCACCGGCCTCCAGCCCAGCCACGCGCCGGGCCGCCCGCGGCCAACAAGGCGTCCCGGCTCGCGCCCCCCCGGCCCCGCAGCTCGCTACGTACCCCGGGGCCTCTGACACGGCCCAGGCGGCCGCCGCTCGCCCAATCTCCGCGCCGCTTACTGGCTAGCTCTCGGCGAACGAGGCGGGGCCTCGGGGTGCGCGCGGACGGACCGGACGTCCGGCCGGCGGGGGGCGGGGCGGGGCCAGGCCGGGCGTGGGCGTGGAGTGCGGGGCGGGGCCAGGCCGGGCGTGGAGCGCGGGGCGGGGCGGGGCGGGGCCAGGGGCGGGCGTGGGCGTGGGCGTGGGCGTGGAGCGCGGGGCGAGCCAGGCCGGGCGTGGGCGTAGGCCGCAGGGCGGGGCGGGGCTGGAGCTTAACAGGAGCCCGAGTTCTCCCGTGCCCGATGGGGGACTGCTGACCCTAACTCCGGAGTCAGGCGCGCCCCTCGCTAGTTGTGCAGCCGTGGCAGCGGCGGAAGTTCACTGAGCCCGTGCTACTCTGCAGGTCTTGGAGCGCTCCGTAGGCTTCATCGCGGTCCTCGCAGCCCTTTATCCGCATTTCACACAAGAGGAAACGTATTTAGAACCTAACTCCTTGGTCCTCTCATACAGTCATTTGACTGCCCATGTGAACCTAGAAAGTCACTTTGCCTCTCAGCTCCAGATTCCAGCTTCCTGCTAATGCAGACCCTGGGAGGCAGCAGGTGGTGGCTCAAGAAGTCGGGCCGGCGCTGTGGTGCAGTAGATAAAGCCTCCGCCTGCAGCGCCAGGATGCCAGGTGTGTCCTGGCTGCTCCACTTCTGATCCAGCTCCTGCTGATGGCCTGGGGACGCAGTGGAAGATGCCCCAAGGCCTAGGTGGGAGACCTAGAAGCTCCTGGCTCCTGGCTTCGGATCGGCTCAGCTCCTGACGTTGCGCCCATTTGGGGAATGAACCAGGGATGGAGGCGTGCTCTCTTTCTCTCTCTGACTCTGCCTCTTAAATAAATCTTTAAGAAGAGGAGGAGGAGGAGGAGGAGGAGAAGAAGAAGTTAGGTCCCTGCCAACCACCCGGAAGACCCGACTGGAGCCACCAGCCCTCAGTTTCAGCCTCCTGGCTGTTGAGGACATTTGAGGATTGAACCAGTGGATGGGAGCTTGCTCCGTCTCTGTCTCTCTGCCTTTCAAATAAAATAAATGGCACATCTTTAAAAAGAACCGAAAGTACATAAAAGTATCTAAGGATGCATCACATATACAATAAGTGATCCTTAATTAGCGCTACCCTGCCGCCCCTCCTCCTAAACTGTATTTCTGCTCTATGCTTACCTTTAAGGTAGGAATCTCATTTACCTTTACCATTAGCATACTTAGTGTCCAGCAAAGTAGGGATCCAATATACTGAGAAATAAAGTATTTAATATCTTCCACTCTAGTATCCGAAAATTTTCTCCCTGAGTTCAAAAGTCAATAGCTGAGCCTGCTCATAGCACAGTGAGTTAAGCTGCCAACCACAATGCTGTATCCCATATGGACACCAGTGGCTGTCCCAGCTGCTCCACTTCTCATCTAGTTCCCTGCTAATGCACCTGGGAAAGTAGCAGTAGATGGTCCAAGTGTTTGGACCCCTGCCACCCATGCGGGAGACCCGGATGGAGTTCCTGGCTCCTGGCTATGACCTGGCCCAGCCAGGAACATTGCAATCATTTGGGGAGTGAACCAGTGGGTGAAAAGATCTCTTTCTGTCTCTGCCTCTCTCTGTCACTCTTTCAAATAAATAAAATAAATATTTTTTTAAAGAGTCAATAGCTTTCACTTAACAAATAGAATTCCATCTTATGATCAGAAGGGCCTGTTTCAGTGTCTTCCCAAGGGTGGCAGTAGAGGGGTCCCCACAAAGGACTGCCCCAGCTCATCCTGACATGGGGCCAGCTGGGATTCCAAAGAAGCACTAAACACCGGGGTGACCAGTCCAGAGCATTCATTAGGGGAATGTGCTTACAGAACACTGCAGCTCATCCCTGGGACAGTGAGAACAATGATGGTCTGCTTGGGCGTATCTGCGGGAGCGGGGCAGGGGGGCCTTGTATGAGGGCTTAAGGAATTTAGGCTCAGGACCAGGACCACAACCTAAACATTTCCATCGGTGCTGGGAATGTCAAGGTTCTGGCTTGGGCTCAAGCCTGCTGGGAAAAACCTGCAGATGGCTGGGTCACAGAGCCGTCAGAGCACTCTGATTTTCAGTCAGAACACAGCAGGGAGAACTGGGGGCCCTGTTGGGCCACTTGTGTTAGGTCTTAGGATTTTAGGGTTCAAAGAAGGAGAGGAGGAAGCTAGTTAAAGTTGAGAAGACTTTATTGTAGGGAGGAGAGAATGGCGGGGGGTCAAAGAGAGAGCTGGGTTTCAGCCTGTCGGGACAGAGGGCAGGGGTTTAAGCCAGGCTTGATTCTGTTTGCACAGCAGGCAGAGCGCCACAGGCTGCTTGCTGGATGCTGAGAAGGTGGGTAGGGGTGTGCAGAAAGGCTTTTATTTATTTATTTATTTTTTTGACAGGCAGAGTGGACAGTGAGAGAGAGAGACAGAAAGATCTTCCTTTGCCGTTGGTTCACCCTCCAATGGCCGCCGCGGCCGGCGCACTGCGCTGATCCGATGGCAGGAGCCAGGTGCTTCTCCTGGTCTCCCATGGGGTGCAGGGCCCAAGCACTTGGGCCATCTTCCACTGCCTTCCCGGGCCACAGCAGAGAGCTGGCCTGGAAGAGGGGCAACCGGGACAGAATCCGGCGCCCCGACCGGGACTAGAACCCTGTGTGCCGGCACCGCTAGGTGGAGGATTAGCATATTGAGCCGCGGCGCCGGCCCAGAAAGGCTCTTATAAGTGCATCGTCTTGCAGTCTGGAGCATTCCCAGGCGAGTAGCAGTAAACATTCATTAGTCTTTACATACCTACCTGCGCCCAATTTCATCAGGCCTGGAGGTCCAAGCCCAGAGTTCCCACAATTTGGACCAACACCTTGCCAGTGTCTGAATCACTTCTATATTATCCTTTTCAACCATACTTCGATTGTCAAATAAACAAATAATTTTTTTAATTTAAAAAAGAAAGTTCTTCCTTAGATAATTTTGAGTCGTTAAGTCATGGGGCCATGGAGAACAATGCTAATTCCTGTTCTAAAAATCAGGTCCCTGGCCAAACAGCTTGAGATAACCTAGCGCTGGGGTCATCCACTTCCCCTGCTCCCAACATATCTGAAGGACGTCTGTCCGTCCATCAATAACTGTGTTGGCCAAGACAGTGACAGGGAAAGAGCGATGTCTGTCCCACCAAAAAAGGTATCTGCATCTGCCTGCAGCCTTTTGTTTAGAAACCCCCCGGGACTGGCATACTGGGTAAAGCTGTCGCCTGCACTGCCAGCATCCCATATAGGCGCCGGTTCTAGTCCCGGCTGCTCCACTTCCGATCTAGCTCTCTGTATGGCCTGGGAAAGCAGTAGAAGATGACCCAAGTGCTTGGACCCCTGAACCCACGTGGGAGCCCTGGAAGAGGCTCCTGGATTTGGGTCAGCCCAGCTCTGGCAATTGCTGCCATCCAGTGAGCTAGCCAGCGGATGGAGGACCTCTCTCTCTCTGCCTCTGCCTCTCTCTAACTCCGCCTTTCAAATAAATAAATCTTAAAAAAAAAAAAAATCCTTCCAGATGATCCTGCTTTGCCAGATACTGCCTTACAGTGTTATGAATGAACTATTGGCGCACAGCAGTGGCCTTGTATTCTAAGCAGGTATCCCTTTGATTCTTCTTTTTAAAGATTTATTATTTATTTTTTAAAATATTTATTTATTTGAAAGAGGGAGATGAGGCCGACACTGTGATGTAGCGGGTAGCCACTGCCTGCAGTGCCAGCATCCCATATGGATGCCAGTTCGAGTCCCAGCTGTTCCACTTCCAATCCAGAGCCCTGTTATGGCCTGGGAAAGCAGAAGATGGCCCAACTCCTTGGGCCCCTGCAGCGGCGTGGGAGACTGAAGAAGCTCCTGGCTCCTGGCTTCGGATCAGTGCAGCTCTGGCATTGCAGCCAACTGAGGAATGAACAGTAGATGGAAGACCTCTGTGTCTCTGTCTCTGTCTCTGTCTCTCTCTCTGCCTCTCCTTTCTCTAA